ATGATAAACGGAATGGAATTCTATGTTCAGTAGTTTTATCCAATGTGATGATTATGTCTGATTATTCCATAATGTACAAAAGAAATAAAACACAATGTGATTGAGATATCTCCAAGGACATAAAACAGACATGCTTTCTAGAATCTTAGGGAAGTGGTTCATTATTATGATATTTGATACTAAGCATTTACGCAATTTTGAGTCGAAAAATAAAAACATGGCTATTATGTCTATATTCATATTTACATTTGCTGTAAAATAGATAAATACAGAATCCCTAAAGAAAGCCCAACACGGCAAAATTGAAAATGTTGCAGGCTCGGTTTGATTGAGCCTGTTCATGGACGGTACTGGAAAGTGCAAGTTACCGTCCACGCCCCCTAGCACCGGCTTAAGCAGAATTCAACATTTAAACGTGAAATAGTAAAATTTTGAATTTAGAAACATCCGCAGATGTGTTCATACGGCGGTTATCATGGAACCTTCAATGTGACACTTCCGTGCCATTCCATGAAAAGCGGCGTATGTAAAGTCTTACAGGTCGGTAGAATGTAAATTTTAATGGGTTACACATTGTCATCGATATGATATACAAACAACACACCGATCAGTTTTATATACTGAAGGGTAACTTCTGCATCGCTTCGGTATGAACAAAGATCAACCAATACAGGAGAGCTAGAACACTTCTTTCGAGTTTCTACCTTTTTATAATAGAATATTAAGTATAAAATGTGATATTACACGGTTAAGTGACAGTTAAACACTAGGCAACTTATTGATTAATGTAGGTTACAAGTAAATATTTTCCATTAAAATGAAATACACTGTATAAGTCAAAAACTAAAGGCGGCTTAATATTACTTATTACTAACAGAAGCTTTTTACCGGTGCTAGGGGGTGTGGTGAGGGATGTTGTACTTATTCATTATCCCTCACGTACAGACTCAATAAAACCGAGTTTGCAATTTTCATGTAATTTTGTTGTTATTAATGCTACCAAATCACTTAATGAACGCTCTTGAATAATAACTGAGAACAGTTCTGAAATGTCAGAAATGTCTTTAGAATGTCCTTTTAGTCCGCAGTAAAGCATCAGGTGGAGGTGGAAAAGAAAGTTTCCGTGGTAGCATCCTTTAATATGGCATTAAGATTTTATGATGTATCAATAACCGAAGAGTTTTTGTCCTTGTTATAGTCACAACTTATGCATTCAATTAACATTTTTTTGTTTGATTGTTTTGGGTTTTACGTCACACCGACACAGTATAGGTCATATGGCGACGTTCTAGCTTTACTGGCGGAGGAAGACCTCAGGTGCCCTTCCGTGCATTATTTCAGCCACGAACGGGCACCTGAGTAGAACCACCGACGTTCCGTAGGCTAGATGGATATCGTCCTCATATGAAAGAATTCGTAGTCCTTGTCGGGATTCGAACCAAAAGCGGTGAGAGGCAAGAATCTTTTAACATTGTTCTTTAGGTAAGTGACCAAAAGTTACATATCCTTGCAGTAATCGTAACTGAGATGACATTGGCAGGATTCGGGCGCTAACTTTTGTTTAGCTTTGACTGGTATATGGTGAACGTTCGACTCAAGTAAAATTCGTGACGTCTTTATAGCCTAACCAATGTCATTTTTCGCGTTGTATAATCGTGACCATAGTTAGCACACGAATACTGACATTATGCGTCGATTTTACTTTCGTAACCAGCAAACATCATGTTACATTTCCTTTCCTTACATAAATAAACTGTAAATATCACCTTAATTTGATGTAACGTTATGGTTTTTAATAGAAATGAATGAAATCTGGAAAGAGGTAGATATTCTATACATCCATTTACCGGTAATAGAAACAAGAATGCAGAAAATGTAAAAGGACGCCATCATTATTACTTATGACGATTTTCTGTAACGTTTGATAATGTATCAGATAATATTTTATTGATGTTATTGTCTATTAAAACTATTTATTTCATGCTTTCCAGTGTTTTACTGTAATATGACAGATGATTATATTCTGATAAACCACTAGTGAAATTTATAAAATATAATTTTCACTGTAGCCAAACTATATCTAAATGTGGATGAAAAGAAAATCATAACTAAATGAAATAACAGGCAAAAATAAATGCCGTCTTGCGTATAATTTTGCTTCTTTAGGAAAATAATGTCGATGTCATCATAAATCATGTTAAAAATGTAACAGAATTAGAGAAATTTAACAGAACTATATTTCAAAATTGATGATGTGACGTCTTGATGTGATGCAGTCATAAAGGAGAATCCGCGACGTTACGCGGTAATATCAGTAAAAATACTTAAAGTCACTTATAAAGCATGAAATAAAAAGAAAATATATTTGTTTTGCATATAAGATTGAAATATATTTCATTCGTGAACACCAGCTGTTCTATTTTCACTCGTGGCTACGCCACTTTTTGTACTTATTATCCTCTCTTGAAAGATAAGATGGTTGTTAACATCAGGAAACAAATATGAATTTCATAGAGTAAATTCAATTGTCCTTTTTTTTCCATGTTTCTAAGCTGGGTACAAAAAAGGAAAAAAAAAACGCGACGATTTTCATCAGCATAAATGAAGTAGCGCATTATTGTTGTGGTGTTCACTCAGTAGGGTTGGATATCGTTCATCACGAAACGGTCCGATACCGATACCGGTACTGACGAAACGATACGGGTATTTTATCGATACTGATACTGATACTTTTACAATACCACATCAAACCATTTGCTGCAAGTATAAGAACTGAAGAGATATAACATGTAGTGCTAGAAAATAAATATGTTACATTACTGGTCTTTCTGAATTTTCATGCTGTAAAGTATACTTTTCTCAAGTTCCATGTTTTGTTGTTTTGTGTTTACTCTTTTTTACATTATTTACACATGTTAATTGTGAAATATTTTTACTTTTTCATCAAAAGAACATGACATAATTTAAACACAGAAAAATATCTTATGCAGGACAGCAGTCTGCACCTGAGATGTCTACAAATTATTGTTTTAATCTTGATATCTCTACATCTGAAAGAATTTAAGACAGTTGGTTATCTATTAATTATTTTCTTACAGCTATTATTATTACTGTGTAGAAATTTTATTCTGATGCTGATATTCTTTTTTAAATCACATAATTGTTTACTGTAATAAATGAAATCACTAGATTGGTTGGCTTAATTTGCAATTTGGAATTACATGTAAGAAATTTCATTAGATGTTTTTTCAAAGTCACTTATGTTTCCAGTCTGTTCTACAACAACAGCACAAACATATTTTCCACCAGTAATTAACTTAGAAATCCATGTATATGCACAGTCAGCACAGACTGTTTCCAAAATGACTTGTTTACCTTTTCATGTTAACCTAATAATAAATATTAGTCCTTGTAGAAGTCATAAAGCAAATACCTATGCTTTACAAATAATAAGGATTTGGTATTTATTTATATTGAATTTACCTTTCAATTTTATACATCTTTAATTTTTCAATAGCATGCACCATCGTCCATGAAAATTTTGCTACAGAAAAAAGGGTATTGTCCTCACCAAATTGCATAATTCCATTCTGCTCAAATACGCAAAAATACTAGCCAACATTTGCAAAAAATCCTACATAACACTATATGAAATAGGTTTCAGTTGTTTAAAGTATCACAGATCTAAATGTGTAATACACACAAGTTGACCTTTGACAGGTGCAAAATAGGCTATTCAAAAGAATATGCCTCCCTTTGATGTTGTTACTCTATCACCATCAAAGAGCCGCTGACATTCACACTTTTTGATTGAAGTTCTGTCAGCATTCTTTTGTTAAGAAAATGTATACATGTTTAATAATAGTTCAGTGTTACACCAAAAACAAAAGGAGGAATATTTTGTTGGAATATTTCGGCCTCATTTATGTTCAAATCGTAATTCACGTGTGGATTTGTACATGTGGTAATGGAAGAAAAGAACCTGGAAACATTAAATATGTATTCATTATGAGTGTTTAGAGACTTAAACTGAAAAAAGGATTTAATTATTTTTTAAAAGCATTGTTTGAATTAACAATTGTCATATGTTGGATTTACATTGTCATTACGGCAAAAGCTGTGTGCGATGTGTTTGGAAGGACTGTGTGCGATGTGCCGATGATTACTCAAGTATTTGATTTGTTTTCTCGTTGTTTCTTTGACATTTAAAACTTACAAACTTTTAGCAAAATCAGTTCAAATAATTATATTTTCCTGCCGAGTACAAAAATATTATTATCTTGAACATAAGCGGCACAATACTTTTACAAAAATATCGCCGCGTCACAAACTTCAAGTTTGCCGCGAAAGCCGTACTCGCCGCATGATAATAGTAATTCATGGTTTGTTTTACGTGTTTGTAGGCTGTTTTTATTTAAAAATCTTCTTATTTTTTTGACATATTGACTATAGAATTATTTTTTTTTTTACAAAAGTATCAAATCCAGTACCGGTATTTTACGAAACGGTATATACCGGTAATTTACGAAGTTACTATTCGGTATAGGACCGATACCGGGAACCGGTGTCCAACCCTATCACTCAGTGAAATTATATTTCGATCTTATATTGAAAGCAAACAAATATATATGCTCTATATCATGTTGACGATGTACTTTATAATATTGATATTTCAACTGTTAATATACTAACAAGAAACTTAATGTTACGTGAACAAGTTTACGTTTCCAAATAAAATATATTTGAATCTTACGTATGTTACGAGGAGAAAATTTGTATACATTTTTTTCACGGTGAAAAGTTAATGTCGTAATTAATTATGTCTCCCCCACCTCGGGGGGGGGAGACATATTGTTTTTGCCCTGTCCGTCCGTCAGTCCGTCCGTCAGTCCGTCCGTCAGTCCGTCCGTCCGTCCATTCTTCGTTTCCGGACGATAACTAGAGTTCCTTTTGACCTACAGCTCTCAAACTTCATAGGATGAATGGTCTTATTGAGCAGATGATCCCTATTGTTTTTGGGGTCAGTAGTTCAAAGGTCAAGGTCACAGTGACTGTTGGTCAATTTCTCGTTTCCGGATGATAACTAGAGTTCCTTTTGACCTACAGCCCTCAAACTTCATAGGATGATTGGTCTTATAGAGCTGATGATCCCTATTGTTTTTGGGGTCAGTAGGTCAAAGGTCAAGGTCACACTGACCGTTGGTCAATTTCTCGTTTCCGGATGATAACTAGAGTTCCTTTTGACCTACAGCCCTCAAACTTCATAGGATGAATGGTCTTATTGAGCAGATGATCCCTATTGTTTTTGGGGTCAGTAGGTCAAAGGTCAAGGTCACAGTGACCGTTGGTCAATTTCTCATTTCCGGATGATAACTAGAGTTCCTTTTGACCTACAACCCTCAAACTTCATAGGATGATTGGTCTTATTAATCAAATGATCCCTATTGTTTTAATGGTCAGTAGGTCAAAGGTCAAGGTCACAGCGACCGTTGGTTAATTTCTCCTTTCCGGATGATAACTAGAGTTCCTTTAGACCTACAACCCTCAAACTTCATAGGATGATTGGTCTTATTGAGCAGATGATCCCTCTTGTTTATGGGGTCAGTAGGTCAAAGGTTAAGGTCACAGTGACCATTGGTTCGTTTGACGCCCGCCTGCCATACGCTGATTGAATAACCAGGATTTTCAAAATTGAATACCTGGTTAAAAACAAACAGTTTAGGAAGCATCTTCTCATACAACCTTAACAATAGAAACCATCCATAGACAGCCTTCATTGAAGTGACTACCGGGTATTTACATTATCTTATCTCCATTTCCATTCCTGTTTCCATTCACAGTTATTCTCAGCAGTGGGGGAGACATGCGCTTTTTTACAAAAGCATCCTCTAGTTATAATTAGTCAGTAATTGGTAATGTGTGAATAATAATAGCTTCAATTGTTGACTGACATCAAATGTTTGATTGGTTAAGCGAGTGAGTTAAATTCATCAATGGCGAGTTGATTAGTTTAATTTGTTTGCAGTTTGTCTGGATGATTATGTCGAGGTAATTAAGTAGTTTGAGTAATGTCAAATTTGAAACATAATATCATGTATAAAGACAAAATTTATTCCGTGAATTAACACACACAATCAAATTTGTATTTAACAAAGCAATTAACCATAGAAGCTGTGAAATCTGAAATTGAAAACAGGAGAAAATGATTGAAAACGTAAGATATTTTACATTACATTTTGAAGAACAGCTTTAAGTAAAATATTAAATTCATTCAATTGTCAATATTGTTAAATATTGTTCTTATTAATAAATAGACTGCTGTCGGGCATAGTGATTCATTTTCATATATATGTTAAATACATATTGCTAATGAATAAAAATGCAGACAATAATTATTTCAAACACACAATTTGCTAATAATTATTTTTAAGTTTCATGTTTATTCATTTATAATATTTCTGTAAGATCAAATACATTAAAAGTACTAATAATGTTTAAATGGCTCACTACAACAAACTAAAGTTTCTCTTTTCAATGAAATATCAGATGTCTTTAAATAGTACAAACATCACTAATAATGACAATTCATAGTGTAAGGTTATTTTGGTTATTATTATTTCAAATGAATAATTGATTATAATCCCAACTTGCCATTTTTAAGTCATCATTAAGTTATTTCGAAATATTTTAGTGTGTTATCTGTGTTGTTTTGTTCTGTAATATAAAAAAGACATCGAAGTGTATGAAAATATATTTATTTCTTTTGTAGGTTCTCCAATTTTCTGACAACCGTCAACTACCGGGATTTTTTCTTTACGCTTGTTCAAGTACGGAAAACAAACACCAGGCTGGGTTTTCAGCTCCTGTTATCTCTTCAAATGGACAAAGAAACGCGACCGAAGCGGAGAACCACCAAACTACTCGCTTTAGCGTATTATCTGCTCTACCAGGAACCGGAAATGCTACACAAAACCCAAAGCGCATGCATGAAAAAGGTCAGACGCTAGGAAATAAAATGACTCTGGAAAGAACGCATGAGAACACTGCCTTGCCATATAGTACTTCTTACTTCATGTCTTTTAGACACAAGACTCTCGAGGAATATACAATGACATGCAATACAGGTAAACATTAAGATATTAAACTTACCCAGACAATTTATTTCGAAAAAAAAACTTATAGGTCACATCATAAACAAAATTGAAAATTTTTTAATGCATGGAAGTGGTAAATCATTTTTTTACATTTACTGCAGAATGAAATACAGACACGGTAATATCATTGTACAACTAATTCGAGAAAAAAATGTTGCCGAATGACAACAAAAATAGTTTCACAAATCCATATTTTCCAAAATAACAGACGAGTAATTATGCAAAAATCAGACTTTATTAATGAAATTGTTATCAACATCTTATCAGTTCTATGTATTTCATATTTCAGATATAAACCAAGAATGTTCGGAATCTGATAGTTCTACAAGTGACATGTCTATATCAACAGAGCGATCAGTCTCTCCATATACATCAAGCAGCGACACCCCTTCACCGCCAAGTGTAGAATATTCACCGGTAATCAGATCACCTCCAAATGCCGACGTTGCAGCAGAAACTGCACCCTCTAGCGGTGATTCTTTACGTAGCCGAGTGACGGATTCAACCAAAATAGAGCTACTAGATTCATCTAATGTAGCATGTACTGATGAAGCTGACGAAAATGAGAAGACAAACAAACTACCAAAGAAAAATGCTAGAACTAACTTTACAAACGAGCAAGTAAAGGCATTGCTGAAAATATTCTACGAAACACCATACCCTGACTCAGAAATGATGGAAAACATCGGGAAAGATTTAAATATTACCGAAAAACAGGTTAAGGTAAGGAACAATAATAAACATTTGTTTTGATTTATCAATATCATCCAAAAAACATCGGAACCTTTAGAATACACAATGTTGTTTCAATTTTATTAACCTTTTTTGGTGTATTAAAGTATGATTACGTATTTGGTAGTCCTTTCTGCGGAGAAATACAGTAGCAGTACTGTTATTCAGAATATCGTCCTTTATTATTACTATTATTTTGTTGTTGAAACTTGAAAACAAACTGAAATTAGTCATTTAATTGTAAACGTTTAAACAACATTTCATATTATGTTATATCAATTACTTTTAAAAATACTTTTTGTTTCGTTAAACAGATCTGGTTCCAGAACAAAAGAGCAAGATGGCGTAGGCGTGTGAGTGACAACAAGAACAATAATGTCAAGTCTTTCCTTCCTACAACGGCGATGTTACCAGCGACGACATATGGATACATGCCAACAGGACATGTGATGACATCATATCCATTTCAGAATATTCCTGGCTACATGAGTTATCCTTGGATTCAGGGGTATTCTGGTCATAGCTATATGAGTCAGCCTTTAACGGGACAAAATTTAGCCAATCAAATTCCTTATCAGACTTCAAACCAGAGCACGACATTAACGAATTATGGTTCTACCGGTTTAAGCGCGAATTCACATGTTCCTACCATGTCGTCCTCCCAATACAGAAACTCACCAATCCAACACAGACAATCGTTCCAATATCCGGGTTATATGTATGCATGAACATACTTTGTGTCATATGTCATATATATGATTTATTGTTTATGTATTGTTATTGATTTTTGTTATTTTATGGTGCTTTCCTTATCAACTATAAGATAGTTCCCTTCTTTGTTCGTCAAATACAGTATGATAATATTGTAGTTGAAACAATATGTTGATAAATAAAATAAAATATTTGTATTATTCATGTTATGTTTTTTTCCTTTCTATAAAAAAGGTAAAGGTCTTGTTTATTATAGTGTCACCTCTACTGAAAGGGCCATACATTTCTGACTTATGAGACACCTTTTGCTTGCATACCATGTACCTCCCAACTCCCACCACTATGCCAGGCGTCAGGCGGATAGAAATCGGTAACCATTCATTTTACCTACCTAGCGGCTCACAAAGCGGCAATTTCGGAAAGAGTCCTACGAGAAAAATACCGACATCTCATAAGCAGATAAATTATTCTTACCAAACTGAAGAATGCGGGTGTATTTTTATATAAATAACGTATGCACAATTACACAAATATCCCAGGTTACTGTATATTCCGAGAAAAAAACTTGTTGACGTTAAAAATGATACTGATGTATTGATAATATGTGGAAAAGCAGCTGTAATAATTTGTGTTGTAGTAAAAATACATTTTAATGTAATAGTTGATGCAAAAAGGAAATAATAATAATATGTGCCGTAAACCATGTCTCCAAATTTTGTCAAAACACTGTGAAAAATCTATAAAAGCACAAAAAAAATGTTTACGTTTTTTTAGAATCTCAATAAGTGCGTGTAAAGTGAAGATATGATCTGAGCAAGAATAACCGCTTCTAAAGCCGGCTTGGTTTTTATTAAGTAAAATAATTATGAGGCTTGCGAGGTACAACATGAGGACATGCTTCACAATTATTATATTTAGCTGCTCCTATGGTAAAATATACTTGCTCAATATAACATTTTTAGTGGATATTTTCACAGGACCATCCATTTTTTAAAAAATTAAACGGACACCAAAGGACAAATTATTATTTAAGATTTTTGACAGGTTATATAAACAATATATAAATATATAAACAAGTGTTTGCCTTTAAAAACCGAGCGGGGAGAGAAGTGTTATATTGCAAGCAACAGTTTATATACGGGCATATAACTGTCAAAAATCTGTATAACGAATTTACCAAACGGCAAAGATCCTGCATTTGAAAGAAAGCAAAAAAAAAAAATAATAAAAAAAAAAAAAAAAAAAATAAAACAACAAACCAAGTTAAAAAATTGATATCAGTCATATTTATATTTTATAGTTTATATAAACGTCACGATTATCCAATGTAAAGCGCAGTTAGAACACATATATTGTACTAACCCTTTAAGGTTAAATAATCTTACGTTAAAATAATGTGCCGTTAAAGCCAGATTAACTGACAAACCAATTTACTAGTACACTATTTTTGGAACATAACACCATCCTAAGAAAGGGGCATTTGTCCTAAAAGGTCAATGATATTTTGATATCAGGAACTGTATGAAAAAATGATACATACATGCGTTGCGGCCCTCGTTGTATATGGCTTTAATTAAATACATTTAAATTACTCGTTTATTTGAATGAAATTTCAATACGATCTCAAGTATCAAAATATAGAGCCACATATTTTCATATGAATTCGGCGACTTGTAATAATTTCCCTAAATTTTTCCATGAACTTCTTGATATCCTCCGGTATTTTGTAATTTGTTGCCATGTATGACATGCTTATTGTGATACTATTTCAATATCAATAATAATATATCAACATGTTAATTATTTGTTCCATTATGTACTTATTTACTTTAAGCATGACATTGTTCATCGGTCAAATTGAGAACTACACTCTTGATGAAGGATTTAAGTAAATTGTTTTTTATCAGAAAGACGTTATAAATGTATAAAATAGACTGGTGGAAACTTTGAATTCTATATATTATAGATTAGGTTCTGTTTCTTATTATCTTGATGAAGCATTTATTGTACATCCTAGATTAAGATATACGAAAAACGTAGATTTAATAAATTTAATGCGTCTGAAATTTCGTCCAGATTATATTTTTCCATCACCAAATTGTCTAGATTTCCACGTTATTAAATCAGCTGCTCTAGACTAAGCCATTAGCATACGGTACTAAATCTAGGTCTATATATTATAATCTATTTTTTCCCTCGTTGTTCCATTTCTCTTTGATATTTTAAATATGTACAATTAAAACCTTGTTAAATAAATATTAATAGAGCTTAAAATTTGTGCTTTTTAATTTTGTTACATCATTATAACTATTTTAAGATAATTGTGATTTAAATGAATTAAGTTGACTGAATAAATGCACCAAAGGGGTGTTTATATCCTCGTTGTGTTATTTCATACACTGTCTGTATATCAACAAGATAAACGATTGAGAAAAAACGTGTTTCTTTTTTGCTTTCTGTCATAAAATATCTCTTGACTGGAATGTATGGATAACGATCTTATATTTTATTATTTTCAAGATTCAATTGCTGAGTATCTAGTGAACTAAATACAATGTACAGTACTCCATTCATTTTAGGCCCACAGTCAGACTGAAATCAAAACGAGTCGTTCTTTTCTGGTAAGTGCATAAAGCTAAATCATATATGCACTCATGCTGCATCGCAACATCATTTCCTCCATTTATTTTACTTTTAATGTACAAATTCTTATTTTCTGTCTGTCGAGGATCGGACTGTTTAACTAGTTAATAATTTAATATCACTTAATCTGACACTCACAGACTTTGGATTCTTAATTTGCAACGAGGCAGTTACTAACTTGTCTCGAGTAACGTCTCACAAACCTTTCCAATTAATCAAGATCAATCCAAACTTTAAATGTTCATTACATAACCAGTGACCACCAAATAGACTTTAGTAACGTAAAACGCATGTTTGCTTATTATGATTTTAAATCTTAATTGAGATAGTACAAGCTTTTTAAAACGAGTTAGTTGAAATTTAGAATACAAGTGTATTAGTAATAGGTCAATGTTTTGGATAAAACAGAGTTATTATTTACGTATGTAATTATAAACATGTACCACACCAGCTGTGATATGAAATTATAGAAATACAAATTACAAAAGAACTAAGTCAAGTTGAGCTGAATTGACTGTATAATTCAAAAGATTGATTGCTATTACGGTAACTGAGAACGGTAAGCCTAGTGCATCATGAAAGCTATAGCGGTGAAAGTTTGTTTGACTAGGTTATATACCAGGAACATCTTTACGATCGCCATTCAGTAATCAAAAGCCACCTTGAGTATTTAGGGAAATTGAATGCATTCTTTATGTTTTTGCTTTAAATTCTTTCGAAACGTAAACAAAATAAAAATACTGAAAAAAAGGCGATTAAAACAAACCATTCATAGCAAAAGTATAGACTCGGTTTCATTACTTATTTTAATGAGATAATTTAAAAATGAATAGTACAACAAATTCCACATTTTCACCTGTTAAGCGGTATTCATGTTATAAGTTTCATAATTCAGTGTTATATAATGTAAATTTGCAAATTGCATTAATTAATTTATAGTAGAGAAATTTTGAAAACATGTTGGAAAAATTGACAATGCAAGCTTCAGGGTGGAAGTAAAATATGATATTGTACGATTAAAATCTGACGATACAAATTCTACGAAACTCTTTAATATGTTGAACTCGTTAAACTATTATAGAGATAAATAGTTTATCATATTGAAATACCTTTTCCGAATAGAGACACATTTCTTCATAAAATATTTCTTTTGTTTATACAACACACAATAAAAGTGATTGAAACATAAAAGAACCAGAAATAAGGAAGATTTCCAATATCACAAACACCTATAAATACAATTGTGTAAATAAAACAGGATTTGCCTTATTAAGTTGATAAAAGTAATATTTATTTATCTGATGTAATTTTCAGCTTCATCGAAACTTACACTACCTTGCTGGAAACAGAAATAATTATCCTTTGTCATTAGTGTACAGCACTTTTGTCTGACGTTTTTTTAAATTTCAATCTTGAATTTTCTTAAAATTCATAAGTGACAGGTACATGAATGGAAGCATTAGACTTAAGTGATTGTTATAAAATCAACATGCTATAGGATATACCGTTCTATCATGATTGTGAAAATGTTTTAATAACAAAACATTATACTAATCTTCATGTATATAAGGCATTCATAAAAAATTACGTTACACCAAAAGAGAATTAGTCATAACTTTATATCGACTTTCTAGCTTTACTAGTTGAGGAAGACCTCAGGTGCCCCTAATGATAAAATCTGAAGACACTTGCGCAACTCGAACCTACAGCGGTGAGATGCTAGTGGTTTGTAGGCAACGATTATAACCACTCGTCCACAGATGCCTCTAATATATTTATTATAAAACAGTTAATTTACAATTTATATTGTTATTATTGCTAAATGTTTAAGAAATTAGAGAATAATTATTTTTATTTTGGTAACAGTGTTTTCTGTGAGAGCAATATAAATCCTTCACATACTATTGGTTCGACTATTATAATTAAATTCAAACTGCCGGCCGTTTTTAAGAACCTTTTGCATCGGAATTATACAATTAGGTATTTTTCTGTCACTGTGACTGTACATGTATGTGAAAACCCGTATAGTTCATGGTATGTCCTAAATGTTCGCAAAACAACACGGAGAATATAAAATAGAAGATTAGGTCATTTATCAAATAGAGGAATCAGTCGGATGACATTCTTATTGAAAGATTAAGTGAAATTATATTCCATCAGAAACTGATTGACGTTATAAATCTGTGCCACTAATGAAAAGTAACATTGAACCAAACATATTATAGCTCAAATCCCATTTCTTCCTTCTCGTGATAGGTTTTATTGACCCGGCTGGAATTGATATATACAATAACAGTTTTTAATAAATCACCCAAGCTGCTGAAATCGCCCTAGTATTAGTTTTTTTTCTACACTGGTAGAATGTGTTATGATACTTGATGTTATTAACTTTAACTGACCTATTTTTGGACTGGAATTTTTTTTAATATGAAAATAATATATATCCCATACAAATAAATCCTTGAAA